CTATCTGTCCCCAAAAAATGTTAACATAAATTGCAAGGCTATAGTCCGGTGACAAAAATGTCACCAGTCATGCTGACTGGTGACATTTTTGACTGACTGGTGAGACCCCCTAAAATTTCTCCAGCCCTGTCTATAAGTATATGTTTGTAGATTGCCGTTACTAAACATTTCTAAATGGTGTGTTTGTTGTTATTTTAAAGATATGGGTAAAGGTGCACTTTAAGCAAATACACAATTGTAAGAATTGTAGCTGTAATAATAATAATAATATAAAAACAGCAAAAGCTATTGCCTGAGGAACCTTCCGAATTTAACATTTCCAGCAATTTCAGATTTCTGGTACTTTGCTTGGCTCTGTGACTCTCCTACATCACTACGGGACACAGTAGTGGAGCAGGGGCTTGAGGTTCAAATCACTGAGTACAGTGGAGGACCAGGATTGTCTCCACTGGCGATATCCTGCTCCTGGTGTATAGTCTAAAGCTTCTGGAGGAGACAAGAGAAAATATTTTGTTATCTCCCTTGTTCATTGCACGCAGATGGAACAAATAAACATGAGTCACCACAGGTATTATAGTAAGCCTAAAAGAGAATGATTGCGCTGCTATTATTGCTGCATTTAATTAATTTCTGTGGTAGCTGAAAAGTAAATTTCTTACTTTAGTTTAAGGCCTCAACATAAAGTGTAGAGTGCTAGTTATAGAGTCAGGCAAGTACTAGTCTAAAGCTAAATGTGGGCTATGGTGGTCTCAGGCACTGTACTGTCATGGGAGTCTCCACATCTGTAAAGAATATTATTTCAAAAAGAGTAAACACACCCAAGCTCTCTTAAAGAAGGTATTCATATGTTGTACAATATGTATTCAATTAAAGAACATTTGCTTAAAGTTTCTGACAATCACACATGCTATGTGTTAATATGAAATGATCATCAAAGTACCATTTCTTAAAAATAAAATACATTTATCACATTAGGGTCCTGTAGGATCTGTACTAAGCCAGTAAAAACACCATCAGAGCTTACCAGGGAACAATAAAACACTGTTAATAGGATGTCAGTTGAAAATAACTTTTGAAAAGTATGCAAGCAGTCCTCCTAGCCCTCATAGACGACTTTTTTATATATTGTTTGTGAAGATCAGTGAACAGCTCTGCTGATAAAGGTAATTTTGATGAGACCAGAGTTATACTTTGAGGCCAGAATCAGAGCTGCAGTGTTTATGTCGATGTGCTTTGCAGTAAGAGCCCCTTTCATTTCGGTTACAATGCACCTGCAGCATTTTTTATACTGGAGCGCACCAACCACCATATACAATAGATGATTCACATCTGTCGTTTGCGGTACACGGATTAGGTATTTTTGCATGGGCGTCCCTAGCCTTTTCATTGCCAAAAGGGACGGGGGGGTGTTTGCTGGTGGTGCATGCCAACATGGGGGGTTGCATGGAGCTGGTCAGAAACCAGAGACACAAATCTCCCCACTCAGCTCTTAGCAACCTGGGACCCACTGCCGGCATCCCGCTCAGCTACTGGCAACCAAAGTGTCCTGATCAGCTACTGGTAACCAGTGAGTGGAGTGCGACACTGGCCAGCGCATCCCAGGTTGCTAAGAGCTGGGTGGGGAGATGTGTATGGCCCCTACACATCTCCGTGATTTTATATACTACCAAAGGAAAGCTCTAACTGTTCAAAACATTTTTAACATAAATTGCAAGGCTATAGACCAGTCATGCTGACTGGTGACATTTTTGACTGACTGGTGAGACACCCTAAAATTTCTCCAGCCCTGTCTATAAGTATATGTTTGTAGATTGCCGTTACTAAACATTTCTAAATGGTGTGTTTGTTGTTATTTTAAAGATATGGGTAAAGGTGCACTTTAAGCAAATACACAATTGTAAGAATTGTAGCTGTAATAATAATAATAATATAAAAACAGCAAAAGCTATTGCCTGAGGAACCTTCCGAATTTAACATTTCCAGCAATTTCAGATTTCTGGTACTTTGCTGGGCTCTGTGACTCTCCTACATCACTACGGGACACAGTAGTGGAGCAGGGGCTTGAGGTTCAAATCACTGAGTACAGTGGAGGACCAGGATTGTCTCCACTGGCGATATCCTGCTCCTGGTGTATAGTCTAAAGCTTCTGGAGGAGACAAGAGAAAATATTTTGTTATCTCCCTTGTTCATTGCACGCAGATGGAACAAATAAACATGAGTCACCACAGGTATTATAGTAAGCCTAAAAGAGAATGATTGCGCTGCTATTATTGCTGCATTTAATTAATTTCTGTGGTAGCTGAAAAGTAAATTTCTTACTTTAGTTTAAGGCCTCAACATAAAGTGTAGAGTGCTAGTTATAGAGTCAGGCAAGTACTAGTCTAAAGCTAAATGTGGGCTATGGTGGTCTCAGGCACTGTACTGTCATGGGAGTCTCCACATCTGTAAAGAATATTATTTCAAAAAGAGTAAACACACCCAAGCTCTCTTAAAGAAGGTATTCATATGTTGTACAATATGTATTCAATTAAAGAACATTTGCTTAAAGTTTCTGACAATCACACATGCTATGTGTTAATATGAAATGATCATCAAAGTACCATTTCTTAAAAATAAAATACATTTATCACATTAGGGTCCTGTAGGATCTGTACTAAGCCAGTAAAAACACCATCAGAGCTTACCAGGGAACAATAAAACACTGTTAATAGGATGTCAGTTGAAAATAACTTTTGAAAAGTATGCAAGCAGTC